ATCAGGGGCTCCTGGCCTTACCACTAGGAACAAGAAGCTATTAGGAACAAGAAGCTATTAGGAACAAGCTTGAGTTTGGGTAGGTCGCCGTGTCGTCATCCTTGCAAGGTTGGCAGAATTGGCAGGACACCAAGGTTTCGCAGCTGACGACTGACAACCGAAGACGCTGGAGTTATATAACTTCAATTTGTTTATGTTGGCTTGCCCGTTCACGTTTGAGGCCACCACAACATTTTATCCATCGAATCTACTACTTTGGTGCCGCTCTTCAGTGACACTTCAAAGCCTAAGCCTGAATACGAGAAGAGAGGATTGAATCCAATGAACCCATAGACTAGACGCACCTCTCTTTTGTTTGCCTCACGGACTCACTGAATACACAAGAAGGTCTGCTTGCAGGCGCTTCATTGTGGATACTGGTTTGTCATTGAACTGGCAGGGAAGAAAAGTCATTTATGGACCAGTTCAACAAGTTCAACTTATGCAAGGAGAGGCTGACAGGTGAGTTGCCAGACGGTTTTGCAACCGCGAGACGTACAATGACGACTTGGGTTTCAAAGTTGCCACACTGAGTAGGCTGGGCTTACCACAGTTTCCCAGAAGTATGAATTATGCTGCAGGCTTCCATACAAGTTCTTTTTACTGTATAGTATAGGTTCGGTAAGTCCTTGCCACCTCAGTCAAATACCTTTCTGTAAAGGAACCAGAGGATGGAGGACCACAGATGAAGGGGAAGGGACATAAGACGAGAATGGAGAAAGACAGCTCGAAGGGGGGTATAGGTAAGCTTCTGGCTTGAGTAAGTCTTATCATCAAGGACACAGGTCAGGATGTCAGGCTTGAGCTCTATTGACGAGTGACGACTTGGTTCCTAGATTTAGGGACAGTTCACATACTTAACCTGTCTCACTTCTCACGTATTCTCCTTTGCTCCTCTGCATGTTTCTGATGTTTTCTGTATCAACACTTGAGGACTCAACCCTAAGGATAAGACTCATGAAATTCAACAACAGGCGACATTACCTGACTGAATGCTTCTTGTTCGCATTCTACAACTCGGTTCAAAGGACTTCTACTTCTCCTACTCCTACGAACTCAGCCGCACAATGCAGCAGAATCTGGCTGATGCAAAGCGGGCATCCCACGGCCCTGAACCCAGGAAAACTCGCTGGCTGCCATGGGGCGACAGGTCGTTGCAAGTTAGTCAGGTGCGGCACTGCGGCCATTGTATTTGGAAAAGGACGTACGTAGGTTGGAGGCCATCGCTATTAGGTTGGAGGCCATCGCTATTAGAGTCTAGAGACAAAGAAAAAAAGAACATACAGTGTAATATAGGTTGCTATTAGGTACAACTTTGGTTTTCCTGCCCATACAGTACTACTACACAGACATTGTATCGCGTTTCAAGCCTTCATGCACACAGGCCAGGCCCAGGGACTGGACTCTCTTGATGTAAAGCCGCGTAAGACTCGCTTGTGTGAGGATGCTTCCAAGCATCACAGGTTCGTGCCGGGGCCTCAGTGTGCTTGAGCCAGAATGAGCCGTACATGCAGTGGACCTGAGGTGGAATCATTTTCACATGACGCCCTTCTTGCAGAAAGAGCGTTGGCAACACTGGTGTTTGTCCATCATTCATGGCTTTTTTGCGTTTCGAGCTCAACTCTCAACTCAAATAGAACCTTGCAAGAGCAGAGAAAAGAAGTGTGACATATGAGGGTCTCATCCAAGGCAAACTCGATGCTCATCCTTCGGGTGGTCATTTTCTGTGGCGCTAATAGCAAGGCGATGCACTCTTGGAGTAGCAAGAATGCTACTAGGGGCTCCTGGCCTTACTACTAGGAGCAAGAAGCTACTAGGGGCTCCTGGCATCGCTACTAGGAACAAGAATGCTATTAGTTTTCGGATTTGGAACCTGTTGGAGTAGCATATTGTACGTTGCAAGTGGCACATGTCGCAGAGGGTGGAGATGTGAGGCGTTCCCGGTTCTACGCTGGCACACGTGATGCTGCCTGAAGCAAAGTGAAAACACCGCAGTGCGCTTCAGTTGTCCTGTGCCAGGCTACCGAAAGCGAGGCCTTAATGTGGATGGCCAGGCCCTGCCGTCCAATCTACCGTGCTTGAAAACCCCAAGGTGGTTAACATTTGAAACACTTTTGCCTGCTTGGGCGGCTGGTGGCAGGTGGGAAATGATGTGGAGACTGAACAGCTTCTTTGCGATGAATCCACGCGACACCTGGCATGTGGCCATGTGATGAGCTTCGTACAGGCAAGCTTGAAGTTGTGACCTGCTTGAATCTTTTCCGGGAGCCTAGAATCGAAGGGCATCGCCACTAGGAGCAAGGACGCTACTAGTAGCTCCTGGCCGTACTACTAGTAACAAGAAGCTACTAGGAGCAAGGGCATCGCTACTAGTAACAAAGGCCTATGAGGCTCAGTAATCTCAATCCACCTGCGCTTGCGAAGGCCACAGTTGTTTCCTACCCCAAGTACTAAAGTCGTGAAAGGAACACAGACTATATATATATATAATTATATATATATACATATGAATGGAGGTCATTGCTATTAGGTTGGAGGCCATCGCTAGTAGGTTGGATATGAATGAAACCATCGCGAAACCACGTCACGGCTCAGATTCGGGGCAGCGTCCCTTTGTTTTGGTCACAAGAAGCTGCTGCCTACAATCCGAAGCCGCCGGCTGGAAGCTTACAAAGTGCCAAAACTCACTTGAGTCACATTGGCTTTTCCCCTACCCTTCCTATGCATTCCTATGCTGGGTCCTCTTCTGTTTGTGATGTCAGACTCGCAGGTTGTATACCCTCGCTGTGACCCCACGCTGTCCGCCACGCGCCGACACTTTGTGGATTTGTTGGAGAGGCTCGCCAACTCTGGCATTCCAACACTTTCACAAGGTTTTGCGGGTGAAAGGCCTGAGGTCATGACCTTTGGATTCTATTCTGATAGCCTTACGGCTTTACTGTACAAGAGCACTTTCTTTTAGTCCGTTGCTACCCCACCTGCGTGTGTGCAATTAAAAGTGGGACTGGATGTTAAGCATCTACATGCAGGTATGGTACACCTCAATTGGTCGTGAACCTAATGAAGGCCAAGAAGGCGTCGATTGGTGTGAGAAGCTGTAGTTCACGCTGGCAAATTTGCACTTGGTGGCAGTTGTGAGGGTTGCTTTGTTGTATGTCGGTCCTGTATTGCACTGCTCAAGTGTTGGCTAGTTTAAAAGTTTGAACTTGCGCTCATTTAAGCATGAGAAGGAGCCTAGACCTCACTAATTTCATCTTGCAGCTTCTTGTAGCATGGCATAGAATGCACCAACAGCAACAAGCATTTGGAGATCAACCGAGTGATGCCCTTAGTCCTCACAGACTATTCATGAGAGAAGACAAGGACTCGGACCGTTTTTTGTATCAAGAAGCTACTAGTAACAAGTGCATCGCTACTAGTAACAAGGGCATTGCTACTAGTAACAAGAAGCTACTAGTAACTAGTAGCTAGGTGCCTTGCTACTAGTAGCTTGTTACTACTAGTAAGGCACTTTTTTTTGTCAGTCTCCGAAAGTTGGTGCCACTATGCTTGTGCCAGTGCCAGAAGAAGGGGATCGCTACTAGTAGTAAGGCACCTTGCTACTAGTAGCTTCTAGCTACTACACCTGAGTGTTCCTTGGAGCACTGCAGAGATCTGAAGAGCACATGCAGGTTGTTTTTCTATGTTTTTCTTTTACTTTCTTTGCCACATTTGCACTATCAAGCAATGCCCGAGGCTCTGAGGCATGGCTTCGAGACGGCGGAAAAAAGATGAGGACACGTGCCTTTTGCTGGTTTTGCCAGGTTTCACTTCCAAAGACTTTGAGGCTTTGCAAGCTTTTCTCGCAAGCCATTTCACATTCAGACCACACGCACTTGACACAAGCCATTTGAAAGGATAGTCAGTCTCACTGAAGCCAGCTAGCCAAATCAGACGGTTCCAAAGAAAGATAGGTCCGCACTTTTCAAACATTTCACGATCCATTTGGCATTCGGGCTCATGGGAGAAGGCTGCGATGCCTGGTCCAGAGACACCCCCGCGATATCGATACATAAAGAGTGGTGTGAGCGATGATGAAGATGAGGCAAAGGACAAGAGAAACACAAGGACGGAAGCAAAAAGCAAAGACTCCAAGGGACAAAAGGACGAAGATTCCAAGGTCCTGGCGGCAAGAAAGCGCTCAGGGTCCTTGGGGCGTCCGCTTTGCATGTCCAGAGTTTTAGACCGTCAGAGACATGGAGGCGAGCAGAATACATGGTGTTACGGCGGTGAGGGCCCGCGCTTTGTATTGCAAGCTCCACCGCTTTTGAAATTGGGGCAACTACAAACACCTACACTTCCAGATCCTTTGAACCCATTTCTTGGCAGTAGCTACAGTGGCTACCCTCAAACACGCACCTTTGCAATAGGGCAGCCCTTTGTGCCGCAGCCAGTGCCTTTCTTCCAACCAGTGCCATCCTTTGACCTTGGAAACACAGAACCGCGGCCTTCCAACAGCCCGAGTGGCGCGAGTGGCCCTTCTGGTCCAAGTGCCCCTTCAGCCGCACGTCGTTCACTTAGTGCTGGTGGAAACTTCGCCCCAAGATCCACAAGTGTTCCAAGGCTTCACACGAATCCGAAGATGCACTTCAGTGTTCCTTCGCTAGCTTCGCTCTCTCCTCCGTATCCACCAGCGCTGACTGCTCCGCAAGCTCTTCTTATGGCACCACCTGGGCCCCCTGCTTGGCAACCCAACCTTTGTGCCGGTGCACTGTCTGTTCCTACACCTAGCAGAGCTCGAAGGGATTCTGAGACACCTGGAATCGATGTCGAGGGTCAAGATGCAAGGGAGAAAACAGAGAAAGTGCCCAATAGCGGACACTTCTTACCCGCCAGCAGCTTTTCTTTGGGTGAGATGCAGCCAAAAATGCAAGTAAGACCTCCTGCAGATGCAATGCAAATCCAGATGGAGCAAATGCACATGCAGAGACTCTACCTGCAGCGGCAGCAAGAGATTCAGCAAAGGAATCAATGGATCTTGGCGAACAAAGCTTCCCAAGAGGCTCAACAGATCTACAGAGGTTCCGAACATCGGCCTTTGACAGAAAGACCAGGCTCCATAACAGAAAGACAAGAAAGACCCAGAACGAGGTGGCAGCTTGTGGAAGACCCAGCCGTACAGGCCGTACAGACAGAGCGCGGCAAGAATGACAAGAGTGAGGCTCCAAGGCCGACAATAGAGGTGATGAAGTCTCAAGAGGCTTTTTCAGCGTCACTTAGCTGACAACTAGACATAACATGACACAACAAGAGTATATACTGTAACTAGATGCTAGATGCATTAGATCATTGGATGCATGACGCATCACGAACACTATATGGTGTAAGTGTAGTGCGTTGAGAGATGTTGAGAGCGTCTTCTTCTTGTGAGCTCCTTCGCCGGCTTTGTTTGCTCCAGTGTCAGTGAATTGGCCCAGGCGTAGTGCGAAGATGAACTGTGGCTTTGGCTGCACATGTTTTCCTGCATTCGAGCATGACATGGGTTGGCGAATCATATCATCCTTTTCTTGTTTGAAGGATTCCACCGTACTCAAGCCTTGACCATTTTGGGGTATGCTCTTAGATCCTCAGCCTCTTTGGTATACAAGGGAATTACTACCAAACCGCTAAAGAACCGTTAAATCCTTACTGTAGCAGGCGATTTAAGGAAAGGCAAGAGGAAAAAGCAATGTGAGAGTTACTTCAACAAATTTCAACATTGCTTGAGCAAAGACACGCTGAAGGGGCTTACTGTTCATTGTTCCGCAACCCTATGCCGCACTCTAGTAGCCTTCAACCACACATGGAACAGGAAGCCAACAGGCACAACAAGACTGTACATACAACTCGCACAGCCAGCAGCAAGAACACAGTAAATAGTGTGCACACAGAAAGCTACATGGCAAGAAGTTCTCGATGATTCTTTCAAGTATCTACCAAGGTCATGGTCGGGCTGATTTGATGTGCTTTAGCTGCATCTAGATTTTGAGCCTTAGCGTATGCTGTGTCGTGGCTTGGATTGATTTTGACAATTCAGTTGTCACCAAGGCAGCAGAAGGATTCTGCAGAGACCGTGGCTGGCACAACCGGATCAGGAGGCAACACGGGTTTTTGTGAATGCAACAATCTGCTAAAGATGGCATGCTTCGACTCCAACTCCAGTATTGTTTGAACAGACAATTAGCAAAGGGTCAATATACAACATTGTAGAAACATAATTTGCTTGAAATCTAAGGTGTGACATAGACAGTTGGGGTTTGAACAGGCGGAAGAAGTGTGACGAAAAGAGGAACACATCAATTGCTTCACCCCGTAGTGCCTAAAGATAATAATCGATTGTGCGTGGAAATGCGGAGTTTCTTCCTGTCAGCCACTCAGCCACTCAAGATCCTGCCACTCAGCCACTCAAGATCCTGAGTGGCTGAGTGGCTGACACGAAGAAAGCCTGAGTGGCTGAGTGGCTGACAGGAAGAAAAGCCTGCGTGGTTGAGTGGCTGACTGGTTGACAGAAAGAAATGTCTGAGTGGGTGAGTGGCTGACAGGAACAACATCCTGAGTGGCTGAGTGGCTGACAGGAAGAAATTTTTGAGTGGCTGAGTGGCTGACAGGAAGAAAAGCCTGAGTGGCTGAGTGGCTGACGGTACAAAAAACCTGAGTGGTTGAGTGGCTGACATGAAGAAAAGTCTGACTGGCTGAGTGCTGACAGGGAGAAAAGCCTGAGTGGCTGACAGGAAGAAATGCTTGAGTGGCTGAGTAGTTGAGTGGCTGGTGTGGAGTAGTCGTCGTAGTAGAAGTAGTATTTTGATAGTGTGAATTTGAGGTAGGATCGCTCTCTGTAGAGCCAGGTTGTCACACTATGTTGTGTCTGCCGCCGTTTGGCTCCTAGGGCCCTTGAGCTATACCGTGCTCGCATCGAAGCGAAAAGAGCGTGTGGGCAGTACGATTCCGGTTGCTACCGACATTGGTAGCGGAGCAGGTGACGGCCTGACTCCGGCACGTACTGATCCAGGTCATTGGAATCGTAGAACATCAAGCCTGAGCCTGCTTTTCTTTGCGTGCTTTCGCTTGCCTCCTCTGATCCCGTTGGGGGACAGAGCCTGGAATAGATTGCTCGCCCGAGCAATCTCCGTCGGAATCGTCGAACATGTCCATTGCCGGACTCAAGTTTCATTCGGGTAGCACTGGTGACAGGGTAAGCAACCCCCTTGAAACCAAGAGTGGGTCTTACATCTATTGGGGAGATCCTGCATCGTTCCATGATTGGAAGTTTCGCACCGAACTCCGCATCAAGCTGTATGACCAAGCCCAAACGCAACAAGCAAAGAAGCAGGACCCTGTTGATGGACCTGCTGATGAAGGGGAGTCTTGGCCACCAGAGTCGGATGAAGGATTCAGATTCCCTTCGCCAGGTCATTATCCCGAGGAGTTTGAGCCCGAGCCGCGTGAAGCAGCCGGTCCTCCCAAGCCGAAGGCTGGTGCGACATCACCAAAGGCTTCGTCCGTTAAGTCAGACAAGTCGAGTATCATTGATCGTAGTGTCCTGGTGAACAAGATCGTAGAAGGTTTGAGAGGTGATGCCTTTTTGCTTGCCAGAGATTTAGGCCTAGAGACGCTTTCTCGTCCAGGGGGACTGGAGCGCCTCGTTGAGGTGATACGCAACCATGTGTTTCCTCGTGCCTTGGAGGAGAGTAAGGAGCTTTCTCGCGCAGGACAGAAACATGGAGGTCCACTGTCAAGACAGCCTACTGAAAGCATGTTGTCGTACACTCAGCGTCGACGACGCTGGTGGACTTTGTTGGTTGAGCTTGATCCCACGATGATGATCTCAGAAGCTTTCCGCACAGAGCTGTTGTTGGAGATGTCAGGTATTTCCCGACAGGAGATGCTCGTGGTGAAGGCTTGCCGCAAGAGCGATGACTTTGAAGGCACTGCGCGAGTCTTGGTAGACAACTATAGTGGAATCCACCTCCGTGAAGGATCCCGATCCTGGACAGGACGGGGAATTCAGCCTCAGGTAGGCAAAGGCAAGGGGTACCAGAAGGGGTACCAAGGTAAAGGCAAAGGTAGCCAATACCCTCGTGCAGGTTACAATGCTATCTATCCCGATTGGAAGGAGATTTCGAATGGAGAGATGAGGACTTGCAAGACAATTATCATGAAGAAGATTCTTTCGTAGGCATGTTAGGAGGAATTGAAGAGTCTGAAGAACCTGAACATGCTAGCCATGCCGAATACGAGGAATTTGAGTACCATGATGATGTTGATGAATATGAAGCAATTGCCTTGAATGCAGTGGTCGATTGTGAAGATGCCGAAGAATGTTCCTCAGGTGATGCCATCCAGTTGCAGCTTGCCGCCTTCGTCGCTTTCGGAAAGGCTAAAGGCAAAGGCAAGGGTAAGCCTAAGGGGAAAGGTAAAGGTAAGATAGTGAAGTCTCACCTGAGCATCGAGCAACGCCGCCAGAAACTGTCAGAGAGATCAAGGCGAAATCCAAGTGTCTTCGTTGTGGTGGATTAGGTCACTGGGCCGGAGACCCCCAATGTAAGATGCCAAATGCCCCGAAAGCTGGATCGACCCCGAAGCCTGCAGCTCACATTGCTCACATGAGTGACTCATCCGAAGACGAAGGGATTTTCCTAGGTGCAGCGTCTCCGAAGGATAGCATTGCTCACATGGCTGTGAAGGCCAGCTCAGGAGTTCGCCCGGAGGCACCAGTGAGTCCCAACGATCTCGCAATGCCTGAGGGAGGCGATAGGAAGTTTTTGGCTGGTCAGTTCAGGGGAAAGACTTATTGGCAGATTCTTCATGAGCACCCTGATTACCACCAATGGGCCATCAAGAATGGTAAGAGTCCAATCGCTTCGGCTTTCGTCACATGGGTTGATCAGCGCTTTGAGTACAGGGGAGCTTCAGTTTTCAGGAATGTTGGTGGTGCTTCTTCTTCATCGTCATTGCAGCCTATCCCAAAAGGGCCCTCAAGGAAGAAAGCACCATATCCACCGAAAGAGAAATGCAAGAACTGTACCGAGTTTACCAAACAGGGAAGCACAGCATACACCATCAAGAAGACGTGTCTTGTTTGGGGAAATTCCACCACTGAGCGCAGAGAACAAGCCCCGAAGTTTGCCTATGAAGATTGCCCACGCTCGGACACCGATTTTCGAGGTTCTTCCAGGTCAGTTCACCGTGTGTTTTGCCAGCTTTGTTGTTCGTTTTTGGATGAGACTCCGATGGAGCTCCAGAAGACCAGGAAGGCAGCCTCAGAGAAAGTCGCCAATGCACCGTTCGATAGGATCCCGATCATTGAACGTTTGGTTGAAGACCCCCAAGGCGGGCATAGCCCTGAAATGCTAGTTAGAGAAGATTCTGACTGAATTCGCCTCCCAAGTCACGCTGGCCGCCGAAACTGAGGAAGTGACTTCGACCAAGCTGCACGAGCTTCTGCACTTGTCCATCGAAGAGAGCAAAGGAGACTCGTTCACCATGATCGATTACACAGAAGATTCAGACCCTTTTGCAGGGATCGGTGTTTGTTTCCATGGGGAGGAACCTACCCAGATGACAGACGGTCTGGTGCACATCTTTCACGAAGCCAGGGACATGTACAGCCCAGACGACGGGAACATCTACGTCGTTCTCGACGAGGGATGTAACTCCACCTGCCATTCAAAGCGCTGGAGAGACGTCGTTGAAGCCAAACTGAAGAAACTAGGGTACGACTTTCCTTTTTCAACCACAACGTCGTGAAAAGGGACCGCTACAGAAGGATCCCGAACGTTGCCATTTTCGTTGCACTTCGATGAGGGAGATCCAGTGCGTGGTGTTCTTGAATCCCATCAGCTTTCGAAAGGTCGATCTCCGCTGCTTTTGTCTCTCCATGCTCGGGCACATTTGGGACTAGTAAAGGACCTCAAGAATGGTATCATTAGCATCAATGGGAAGCGCCTCAAAGTGTTCAGATGCATGCATACCGGTTTGATGATGTTGGCAATCACCCCTCAACAATTGGTCCAAAGTCTCGAACCCACCATGCCCCAAAAGATTCCAAAGTGTCATCGCAAATTTCGAGTCGCCCTCACAGCCTTCGATACTCCGATGGAGAGATTGGATACGGCAGAGCGAGGGTATCAAGCCCAGACTGCCGAAGGTATTCATCGTGCGCTAGACAACATCATTGGCGATTTGAAGAGCCGTGAGTTTTTGCTGGTCACCGGAGGCGATCGGTTTGAAGACAGATTGGCGCAGCACATTGACAGTGATTTTCCCGTGAAGTACATCAATGCCAAGTCGCTGTGGGACCCCGACCAAGACCCTTCATTACGTGGACACGTAGGAAGGCATCCGGCCATTTTGAATGGTCTCAAGAGGGATCAGAGAGGTCTTGACCGCATCCTTCGAGAGGTGGACGCCTTTGTGGAGCGCCGTGACAAGGGAGTTTTGGATGTGCGCTGCAAGTCAGGGTGCCATCGTTCTGTGGGCGGAAGCATGTTGATCCACAGGCACCCTGTTTCGAAGGGCTTCACTTGTGTTGTGATTCATTCTCACTCACCCGAATGGTGTGAGATGTCGCGCGGAGGACGATGCACTCTTTGTGGGCCGCTTTTCGGTGATACAACTGTGACTTTGACTCCAGCACATACAATGAATGTTCACACTCCCAGGGCAGTTCGAGGTGATGCGGACGACCACGCGCCGTGGCGATCCAGTGACCGTTCGACAGCTCCACCGCCGCCACCTCCAACACGGGAGGAGTCTATTCATAGCAGCAGTGCCAAGGCCTGTCCACGTTCGAGACCATCTTCATCTTCACGACCGCCAAAGGCGAGTGACGCCGTGGTATCTCGAAAGAGCAAGCCAGTGCCGAGCACTGCCATGACTTCGCCTGTGAGGCCAGTTCCAGATTTTGATGATGGCGACAGCGATGAAGACAAGGATGACAAGAAAGTCGAGGAGAAGAAGGACGAGGAGGTGGAGGAAGTCGAGGTCGAAGAGCCCGACGTTCCAGCAGATGAGAATTCGAGCGGAAGTCAGGAGATTTTGCACGCACTCAAGAAGCTGACCGAGGCCGTGACATCCTTATAGCAAGTCGTGATACAAG